TGAGTTGAACTAATAAAATGCCATTTTCAGTTACCAAACCAACAAAAATAAACGTACATGCATGACAATATTTTCTGTTGGCCAGAAAGGGGAAAGAGAAACTCATATCTAGCTGACAGGCGTGCAAGTTGGTGCAATGCTTTGGAAATTACCTTAGCAGCATATAGCAAGATTGATGACGGGCATGCCCTTTCACCTAGTCATTCCGCTCTTGAGACACTCCGGCCCTGTGCTCATGGAGTCTTGGACAAGGATGTTCACTGCAGCATTGTTTATTATAGCAAAAATATGAAACATTTCTGTACAACAATAGGAGAATGAAGAATTAAATTGAATTTGCAGCTATGCAATAGAATTGTGCACAGCACCTAAGAGAAAATAGCAAGATGCTGAATGCCACCAAGTGTGACCATAATTGCGTAAAATTTTAAAATAACACACAAAACAATGATATTAATAGTAATGCTTATTATTAACAATAAAAGTTGCTTTGGAAAGATAGCCATCAAATTTATAAAAGTGGTTGCTTCTGAGAAGGGAGAGGATAAAGGAGGCAGAGGCTAAATGAGTCATATTTGTATTTTTTGGTTCCTCTGCCTATTTTTTTTTTAAACTGAAAGACAAAAAACTAAAAACAACACAGCTTGGAAGCTAGCAATAGCCCACTCTGAGTGGTGGACATAGGGAGTTTGTTATATTATTCTTTGTACTTTTCTGTAAAATATTTTTTCAATTTTAAAATCTTTTTCTTATGCAAAAAATTTATGGAAAATTTTTTGTTTAAATTTCTTAGCGATGGGGTCCTGCTCTGCTGCCCAGCCTGGTGTATAGTGGTGACATCACAGCTCACTGCAACCCCGAACCCCTGGGCTCAAGTGATCCTCCCACCTCGGCCTCCCAAAGTGCTGGGATTACAGACATGAGCCACCGTGCCCAGACTAAAATTTCTTACAAAAAAAATTTTTATGAAGAATTTTTTTCTATGTTGAAATATTTTTTCTTATGTTAAAATTTTTCTTATGATTTTAAAATAATCCATGGATAGTCTGAAGCCGAGCTGCTCTGAGGGAAGTGGGGTGCAGCCCGGGCTCTCCCTGCCCTCCTGCGGTGGACACCCCAGCCAGGTGGGCAGCAGCAGGAACGCCGTGGACGGCAAGCCCTGGTGCCAGTCTGCGAGGATTCAAACCCTGGTTCTGCCACTTCCCAGCCCGACACCAGGCAAATGGCTCCATGGCTTCCTGGGCTCCTCTCCACACTGGCCTGAAGCTCTGGGTTTTCTAGGAAAGTAGAGCCCCACAGCTGGGGAAAACCCACAATCACTTCATGGGGATCCGTTCATGCATTCATTCAACAAACCATCCTGAGAACATCCTTCCCTGTGCAATCCCCACAAGAGAGGCAATGGACGGGGTGCTGGGACAGGATGGTTTAGTTTGGACACAGGACCCGGCGGATGGAGTGACATCCTTCAGAGCCGCATTTCCACCAGCCTCACGCAGCCTGCCCGGAGAGGAGGACGCGGGGGCTCGGGGAGGGAAGGGCCCACGTCGCACGGCCTCCCTGTGTCCTGTGTGCTCGGAGGTGCCCGAGGGCCTGGCCAGGCCTGAGGCGGGAATGACCAGGACACCTGTCCCAGAAGGCTGGGCTGAGGGGAGGCCCAGCCAGAGCGCAGGAGAGAGTGAGCGGAGGGGAGCCGTGACAGCAGAACTCCGACTTCCGTGGAAGCCACGTGGTCTTGTGCCGGCCGCCTTGCTGCAGTGACGCTGCCTGACCAGCCGTCCCCAAAGTCAGCGTGCCAGACACGGCGCACTCTCCGGCCGTGGGCCTGCAGGGCAGCTGATCTGGGACGGCAGGGCTGTCCCTTTCCGGCGGTATCTTTCCTCCTCCGTGGCCCAGCAGCTACCTGGGTGTCCCGATCATCGGCTGTCACCCAGATGTCATCGGGCGAGTGGAAACTCGGCACTGGCTCACTGTCACTCCTGCCCACATTCGACTGGCCAGAGCAAGCCTCGGGGCGGGAGGAACCGCACAGGCACGCGGGAGAGGGCGTGTGTGGGGAGGCTGAGGGGCTGGGAATGGTGACACACCTGGCACCTGCTCCCCACTGCGAACCACTCTGGGTGGTGTGCAGGATGGATGACAGGAGGGCCACTTTGCAGGTGAGGGGACTACTGCAGTCCAGAGAGGTAAGATGGTTCCTCTCTAGCCCCAGAACAAGGTGGGTCTAGACACCCAGCCAGCTGGTCGCTAAGGGCCACGTGTCCCCCCCCCCCCCGAGCAGACCGCGTTGTCCCCCCCCCCCCCAGACCTTTGCTGCCGGCCCTGGATGCCCCAGGGCCTGTGTCTTTCCCGGCAGGTGCTGTCACATCTGGAGATGCGTCACTTCCAGAACGCCCACGCTGCAGGAGACATGCATGAGCACACAGAGACAGACACATGTAGAGGCAGACACAGAAAGAGAGAGTTTATTTTTGGCCAAACTTAGGAATTCTAGAGAAAAAAATCTACATGCAATACCATCTTTTTAGTGCTGAATGGTGCTAAAAGCCTATTCTGGCACCCTTAAAGATGGAGAGTTGCTGGCTAGTTTGGGAGCAGAAAGCTGAGCCACGCCGTCACGTGGGTTTGTCCACGTGCCTTGCTGGGTGCACTCACCTGCTGGCAAGACCTGGCTGCCCCCAGCTGCAGTTGCGTGTGCTGTCCCTGCACGTGCGTTAAAATGGTGCTCGTCCCTAGAGAACACAGCTCAGACCCCAGCTCTGTCAGCCCCAGTGCGTCCAAGGTGGGGGAAGAGAAGGAACCTGTCACCATCAGATACAAACCAACTGGGCCATTGCTGAGAACTTTCTAGTTTATCTGAAGGAAGTTGAGGCGTAGACTTCCTGACATCCAGCAGACCCTGAAGGATGAGTGTGCACAGGCCTGATCGCCCCCCTGCCCTCCCCAGCCAAGGGCCAGAAACGGCCACGGGATGGGGGAGCTGTTTGCCAAGGAGCCTTCCAGGAAAGATGTCTTTAGTTGTTGAGAGGAGACAGGGAGAGCTTGTCTCTTGGCAATGCTTCTTCTTCTGGATGTTGCTATGTGTGGATGTGATGTGATGCTTGGATCCTGGCAGCCCCCTTACATCCCTGAGGGCTGCCTTAGGGTAATGCTGATGTGGAGTGTTACCTACATGCCAAGAAGGCCTTGTGTTCAGTATTTGACATTTGTGTACACTTTCCAGGTCTTCCTGTGTGTAGGGTCCTGGGGACATAGTGGAATCGGGACTGTTCCCACCCTCAAGGTGGTCCAAGCCAGGAAAGGGTAATAGAGTCAGATGATAACAACACAGTACGGGGAATGCTGTGATGACAGAGGTCCAGGGGGCTGAGGGAGGGGAGCACCCTCCCTCCTGTTGTCTCTCCGCCTCATCACTCTGCCAATCTCTCTCCATCTGGGCTCCTCATGGGCCCAGTGCCAGCTCTGTCCAACAGTGACGACAGTGGCAGCCGTGCATGCGGGTGTGGCACCTCGCATCTGTCAGCTCCCTTAGTCCTCATGGATCCTTGTGGGGTACACGCTCCCCATTTTCCACCCAGGGAAACCAGGAGCAGGCACTGACGGTGCCTGCAGAGGCTCTCGGGCCACTGCACGTAGCTTCTCAATACCGGGAGGCCACACCAAGGGCTCATGGTCTTCATGCTGGCACTTGCCCCCCAAGCACCTCTGCACCGTCACCTCCTATCCCACATTCTCCAAGGCCTGGGCTAACGGCACTCCCGCTCTGCCTGGTGGAACTGAGGCCTCCTTCTCACCCGCTCCCTCCCTGTCTGCCCTTCTGAGTCAGGCCGGCCCCTTCCTTGGGGAGGGCATGTCCCCAGGCTCATGCACAGATCTGACTTTACAGGAACGTTGCAGGCACTGCTGTGCCCATTTCACAGAACAGAAAACTGGAGCCCAGAGTGAAGAAGAGTCCAGAGCAGCACAGAGGGGGGAGCTGGATCCAGACTGGCCCCAGATCAGGCTGTCTGATCTCAAAGCCTGGGTGGGGATGGGGACAGGGCTGGGCATGCACCCAGGCTCTGGGAGGGAGGGCAGCGAGGCAGGGACGTTGTCTGGGAGGGGCTCCCTGGGCTGAGCAGGGCCATGGAAACAAGGAGAGGCTGGTTTGCGGGACCTGGAAACTGGCTGGATAGGGAACTGGGTGAGGACGGCACCATCCTCCTTTTAGGAGGCGCTTCCCGAGCTGCAAGGGGCACTGCCCAGCTGCTGTGCCTAAAAGGTCGCCACACACTGGCTTCCAGCAGCAAGCCATGCGGGGCACGCAGTGCACATTCTGCTTTTTGCCCAGTCAGGGCTCAGGTCCTGGGAAGCGGGAGTGGATGCCGAGAGGACTGGGGCAGAGGCTCCTGCCCGCTGGCCGGCCCTGGGCAGGCTGAGTTCCCTGAGCACCCACGGCCACACCTGTGACTCGGGACACCAGCAGAGCCACCCTCCCAGGGATGATGCCTGTGGGCACTCAGTGGACACTGGCTGGGGTCAGGTGGGGGCCTGACAGCAGGTGAGTGGGGGGTGAGCCAGGGAGGGTGGCACAGGACACCCCAGGAGCTGGCAGCAAGGCGGGAGGACTAAGGTGCAGGTGTCGGGCTGCAGAGAGCTTATGGAGAGGGCAGGCTGGTGGCCCTGGGAGGGCGTGGCGGGAGCCGGCCCTGCGGCAGGGAGCAGCAGCCACAGCAGTCCCGGTGGGAAGGGCGCTGGGGAGAGGAGGTTTCCTTTGGGGGGAGAGTCAGACATGTCTGGGTGATGCCAAGGAAGGCGCTGGCAGGGAGGAGAGGTGCCAGGTGACATGCAGGGGCTGCCTGTCCTTCTACAGGAAGGCGCCTGCTCGTGCCTGGCTGCTGGAGATGGGCACGTGCCAGGCCGTCCCCGCGGCAGAGGTCTGCTCTGGGAGGGGCCTCGCCACCAGGGCTCCGGCCACGCCCAGGCAGGACGCGTGAGCCCCAGCAGTGATCACACCCCTCTCAAGAAATGACACAGCGCTTTATTAAACAGACCGAGCAGCAAGGCCCCGGTGTGCGTCCAGGCTGTCAGTCTGCGCTCAAGTGAGACGCAAGGCACCTTCTTCCTTCCTTCGGCCTCAGCCAAGTCAGTGGCGTGGCCAGCCCGGAGGATGGATGGGGTGGATTCGAGTGTGATCCTCAGTCTGACCGGACCCTCTACACACGGTGTCCGCACGTGGACGGCTCCAGGGCCTGAGTCTCTGGGTCTCCCTGAGGGCGGCACGGCGGCTCCGCCTGGAGCAGGGGCCGCGTCCCTGAGTCTCAGATCTATGCGAGGAGCTAGGAGAGGCGTCTCACGAGTGGCCTGCCCTGCCCTGGCCCCAGACCGCCAGCGCCCTGCCTGCCGGCCCACGCTGGGAAGCTGCCTGGGGGCCTGGGCCCGGCAAGTGGCCGCCGCAGAGGCAGCCGCTGACACAGGCAGGCACCGGTCGGGTCCGCTGAGGTGCTAGAGCGTCACACACAAAGGACGAGCAAATGACACTGGGTGTCTGTGTTGACACAGAATGTGGCGGCTTCTCAAAACACACACATGGAAAGGGAGATCCCTGCCACCACCTCAAGCACGTTCTCCTAGGGATGGTCCTCATGTCGCTGAGCTGACGCAGAGGCCAGGACAGGGAGAGAGAGGGGACCCCCACTCGGGACACCCCTGAGGGGACGAAGCCAAGGTGACCAGATGTTGCGACAGCTCACGCAGCAACGGAACACAGAAGGCGGATTCTGTTCACAGCTGCCCCGTGCGGGGAAGTGGCCCTGTGTCAGCTCAGGGCTCTCCCGGCATCTCGCCTTGCTGAGGCTTCCCCTGTAGTGGCGGGGCTGGCGCAGGGCACTCACGTCCATTTGCTCCCCAAATTTCCTAGAAGCCTCCAGACCAGTGGAAAAGTAAGTTTTCATAGCAGAAAAAAAAAAAAAATGCCATCCCTCCCAAAGTAATTAGGCAGTCCTTTCCCTGAGAGCACTGCAGCAAAGTCAACTGCAGACGACTGACCAGAGCTGTCACTGCTCAGCGTATTGAGCAGGGACTTCAGCGAGGCTGAAAAGTAAAGACACAGCGTTGTCCAGAAATCCTGGACAACCATGCGGACAGGAATGAGCCAGTCTCTCAGCTTCGCAAGACTTGGGAGGAAAAAACCATACAGACTTAAAACTCCTCCATTTATGCATGCGCCAGTGGGCATGGCCTAGACACTAGCTCCACCAGCACAGACGGGCGGGGAAGTGGGCCTGGGGACGGGGTGCAGGCCTGGAGGGGCCCACTCCAGCGAGAACATCAATGCAGCAGGGGTGTCCCTGTCCCAGAGGGGCAGCAGGTGAGGCTCAGGCCGTCCCTGCAGAGCTGCCGGCGGTCCCAGCACCTATGGGGCTAGTGGGAGGCGTAGGCGGGGCTCCACAGCCCAGACGGCGGGCTGGCTTTGCGAGCAGGAGGCAGCGCGTTGAGAGATGCTGGTGAGGAGGCAGCAAAATCTAGGGTGGAAAGAAAGACGAAGTGAGCAGCAGAGCGAGGGAGAGCTGCCTCAGCACTCATCAGCTCTGGGTCAGAACCGCACTTAGTGCCTGCCTCACAGCCAGGCACATCCCTGATGATGCCCTGAGGCCTCCTGGGGCCAGCAGAGGGAAATGACAGGGGCTTGCTGAGCTGGCCCGATATGGAAGGGGCGACAGACACACGGGAATCGAGGGTGTGGCCCCCGACTTGCAGAGCCGGGCCGGGAGCTAAGTCTGGGCTTTCAGCAAGGCCTGGCAGGGTCTGTGCCTGGGGCACCAGGAGGAAGGCCTGTCGGCTGGGGTCCAGCATCTCAGGTGAGAAGGCCGCGTGGACAGACAGCCTGGAGTGTTTGGGGCAGTGCACACAGCCCAGTGTGGGGCCAGCACGCACAGGGAGGAATGTGTTGGGAAAGGCAGCTAGAAAGGATGAGAGTCCTTGCAAGAACCTGCTGCAAGAACAGCTGCCATAATACAGCCCACTTTCCAGGGCAGTGGGCTGCAGAGCACCCAGGGCCTTCCTGGGCCTGCTTCACAGGTGTGAGCGGCAGCCAGGCAGACGGCTATGATTCTAGGAGTCCAGGATGTGCGTGGGATCTCGTTTCCCAGGAAGACGCTTCTACCTACAAAACTGTGTCCTCTTTCAAAATATTCACGGACCTCCTTGAAGTCCATCCATGGCCCCACAGAGCCGACAGATACCAGTGCGAGGATTCCTTGTGTAGAGAGAACCCTCAAATGGGAATCAGGAGACACAAAGGGCTGCTGTGTACAGCTGCACGGGTTGGGTACTGCAGTTTCAGGGGACACCCACTTACAGAGAGAGGTGCCTGGAGTTGTGTGGGGTCACCAGGGCCTTGGGGCCACCAGAGAGACAACTGAGCTGTTCAAAGGACTAGGATTTGCCCATCCGCTTTGGGAAATCCCTCATCAGAACTTCCCAGAGTCCTCATCTCAGGGTCAGCCAGTCCCACCCAGCCTGGAGCTTTCCGCGGCAGGTGGGCCACATGTCCTGCACGGACAGCTGCCGAGACAGCCGCCGCCGCTGCGTTGGCTCTGTGAGGGGAAAGCTCTTACTGGCCCAGAACTGGCATCCAGCTCATTCCCCTATTCCTGACTCCCAGATCTGTCCTCTGGGCCTCAGGCCTAGTTGCTCCTTTTGCCCAGGCACAGGCCTGCTGAGACTTGGGGTTCAGGGCCTTGACCCACCCTGCCCATGCCCATGGCCCCTCCTCTTTCCTTACAGCTCTGCCTGGCGGTGCCTGTGGAGGGACTACTCACAGTGGGGGCTGTGCCAAGGGCTGGCTCGGGCCGTGAGGGCTGCAGGCACCATGAGCTCCCGGGGCGCACAGACTGTGTGGTAGGCTGCAAGGACACACGGCTGGTTAGAGCAGGTGGGGACAGGGGAGCAGATCCCAAGATACACCCAGCCTGCCTCACCTATGATCATGACGGCCGTCCCAGCCAGCAGGGCAAAGAGCGTGAAGAACATGACTTGGTAGGAATCCAGGAAGTGCTGAAAGAGGCTGGCTCCGTCTGCCATCAGTGAAAGACAAGTCACCAAAATGCCAGGGCCACCTATGGCAGTGTCCCAGTGTCCGTGCGCTACCGTACACACGCAGGGTGGCACGTGGGCCCTCTGAGATACAAGGTCCGTGGGTCTCAGAGGGCCCGGTGGGCTGCTCGAGGCCTGGGTCAGCTTGTGGTCCTGCTCCCCTGGTGCCCCACTCCCTCCACCTGGGCCTCTGAACTGAGGCCAGCCAGCCGTCTGCCAGGCAGCGCAAACCTTGCGCGGCGTCTCCGGGCCGGCAGGTCGGCCGTGTCTCTGCACCCATCCTCTGGGGAGTCGGCCATGCTGCCCGAAGCAAGGCGGTTTGAAACTGCTAAGTCACAAGTGACAGCCACAAAAACACAAGCATCGGCCAGGAGCCCACTAGTGGGATGGAGTGCCACTGCTCTCAGAATCTGACCCTCGAGGCCAAGACAGAGCCCAACAAATTGTGCCCCAAAGCTGCTGCTCTTCAGGGGCCCCCACAGTGGGGATGGCCCAGGCCCGGCTCCCTCCTCTGCCTCAGTCCTCCTCGCAGGCCTCCACACCTAGCGCCTCTGCATTTCTGCCCTAAGTCAGAACACACCCCTTTTCTGCAGGAAGAAGGCCGCTGGTGGCCTCCAGTTCCCCTAAGACCGCCTACTCCTTTCAGTCTGCTCCTGGCCAGGCAGCCAGACCTGACCGTCCCGAAGCCCGGGCCCCTGCCTGCCTGGTGCTCTGACTCCTCCAGGCCCAGTTGCCCCACCTCACGCCAGGGTGTCTCACTGCATTGCCCCGCCAGCCGCCCATCCTTCCTGCCCCGGCTGGAGCAGCCTCTGACTGTGCTCTCCTCCCAGCAGAGGCGAGCAACCCCGCCCCGGCCACGCCTGCCGAGTCATTCCTACCGCACCTGCAAACCCGCGTCCTCTCTAGGAAGGGGCTTTCCCACACCTGCCTGGCACAGGGTCTTGCCCACAACAGGTGCTCATCAGCGACCGCAGAATACGTGCACCCACTCCCTCAACAACAAACGCTCACTGAGCACCTGCTGTTTGTCGCCAGGCCCTGTCCTAAGCGCTGTCCTCACGCACTTAATTTCTAGTTGGGGAGACAAGTAGAAACTCTAATAATTAATTATGTTGTGATGCAGATAGACAGTTGGCAACAGTGCTGTGGTGAAAGAAAAAGGGTTCAAGTGTTCAGGAGTGAGGTTCTAACTTTCAATGTATTTCAGTATTTGAGGAGGGGGGTGCTGGCCAAGGAGCCATCGGGGAATAGTGTCCCAGGCATAGGGATGGCAGATGCCAACGGCTTGAGCGGGGCGGCATGTGTTCCAGAAACAGGACAGTACGGCTGCAGCAGGGACCGTAAGGGGGAGATGAGTCACAAGTGGGTAGGCAGGCTGCATGGGACCTTACGGGCCACTGCAGGGCTGTGGGCTTTGCCCGCGAGGGAGGTGGGGGCCACAGCAGGCTGCTTAGCAGAGGGGCACAGTCCCAGTGGCCGCCGGGCTGAGAGCAGACGGGACCTGGGGGGACACAGCAGGCACGATGGCCCCAACAAGCCACTGTCACTCTGAGGGACAATCTGCATTTCTGACTCTGCCAGTTCCCACACCCAGGTTTTCCTGACACTCAGAACCACTCCAGCCTGCCCTCCCCACCCAGCTCTGTCCCAGGTGATGTTGTCCAGTGACTCACAAGGACCAGGTCCACGGCGATCCATCACGAAGGCCACAGTCACCGGGATGGTGATGGCCTGGTTGGTCGTGGGGCTGGAGAAAGTCAGGACAGTGGACAGAGGGCCCTGGCTCCTGGCTGTGGGGTCTAAGACCCCAACCGTGTATGTGATGAAGCTGGGAAGCCCGAAAGACTTCTCCTTCTCGAAGACCAGCACGGCAGGGGACCCGGATTTCACCTGGGAGAGACGTCAGGGCTGGGGGGACATGCTCTGCAGACAGTGGAGGGACCTCCGAGTGGGGCCGAGGACTCCCAGGCGGGCCTGCTGCTCTGTGCACCCCATCTCTGGAAGTACCCCCATGTCAGCCTGACAGTGGGCATCCCTCCCAGGGCCCGAAGAATATGGGTGGGGACCTCTGCCCAAGCCACGCCTCCTAGGCAGGTGGTGACGCTTGGGCACTGCTCAGGGACAGTGCGCAGTCAGCAAGGTCAAGAAACACCATCTCTAAGGAAAGGGCAAATCAGCTTCATTGAATTCTCATCAAGTGCTGTGCCAATAACGCTAAACCAACGTGCTGTAGTATCACCAAGAACCAACTCTTCCCGGGGGAAGCCCGGACTCTGGTCCCAGGCCCACCTCCAGCAGCCCCGCGGGCTGGCCGTCCTCCCTAGCCCACCAAGCACGTGCTCCCCGAGCCTTTCCAGCACAGTGAGCCCTGTCGGCTGTGGCAAGAGAGGAGCAGCAGGCAGGAAAGGCAGTGAGCTCCTTCATGCTGTTGCCCCAGAACCCTGCCCAGGCGGGTCGGGATCCAGGCCTCAGAGACCATTCACCCGTCTTATCTGATGTGGGAGTGAGGCCTGGAGAGAGGGGACTTGTCCCCAGAGGGATTAGGGCTTGTCTCCCTGCCCCATGGCGGAGCACTCCTGCCCCGAGTCCACTCACTGCACACCCCCCATGCTCCCTGAGCATCCCTCCATGCTGAGCCTGCAGCTAGGGAAGCCCAGCAGAAAGTGTGAAAATTAACAAGATCACATGGGCTGATAATGGCAACAGTGCTATGGAAAAAGGAAAAGGGTAAGACTGCTTCATTTTTTAAAAAAATTACTAACCGTCAGTCTTAATTTTAAAGAGAGGTGGCTCAGGATGCCCACATCATGTCCCCTTCCTTCTCGGCCCTTCTTGCGGCCCCTGACGCAGGCTGGACGGGAGGCATGGATGCCACTCACCTCCAAGCTCTCCAGGGCCTCCAGGGTGCCGAAGACCTTGACCTCGGAGCTGGCATACTGGTTGCTCAAAAGGATTTCAGCCTGGTCGGCGTAGAGACTTGGACTGAAGGGCACTTCGGCCCCGACCTGCTCTGTGGAGAAGTGGCTGCCAGAGAGGGAGGCTGTGACCACCACAGCTGTCTTCTGAATGCTCAAGAGCTTCAGCTGCTTGTCAGTCAGCCTGCGCGTGACAACCGAGCAGAGGTACTGGCCTGCAGAGACAAGGGTGTCCACCTTGTGCCCTCTCCCAAGTGCACACTGACGCTGCTCTTTTTCTAACTGGGAAACACCTATGCATCCTCCAGAGCCCAGGTGAGAAGTCACCTCCTCCAGAAGCATTCCTGGAAATCGTCCTTCAGGGCCCCTTGACCCAGCTGGGACACCCTGTGACCAGCAGTCCCCCTCAGTGTCTCAGAATCCTCTAGTCACCAGATCATCCTTTAAGTGACCCTGCCGGGGCAGCATTAGGGACGAAATAGGGCAGCAGGACGGCCAACTGAGGGCCCTGAGGTCGGGCCCAGCACAGAGTGTGCCACGGGACCCGACAGCAGCCCACGGTGCAGGCTCAGCTCCACCGCGCTGGTCTCCCGGCCTTGCAGCTGTCAGGCTCCGGCTCGCAGGACAGCCCTTGACTGTCTACTGAGGACACTCCGGCCGCCTCTCACTTGCTCCGTGCAGGCAGGGCAAGGCCCGTCACCCGCATTTCAGGAGAGGAGGCTTAGAGGGGAGCAGCCTCCACCCCCGCAGGCGGACAGGCAGGAACAGCAGAGGAGGACTCTGGACCCGGGGTCTTCCGCTCTGAACGCTGCGACCTTTCTGATGTGTGTAGGTGGTGCTGAGAGCAGCCGTGGCCCAGCTCAGGAAGGCCAAGCCCTCCTGGCGGCCACTCAAAGCTGTAGGGGCCAGGACCCTGGCATGAATCCCGGGCTGGGGTCCTGACAACCTCTGCTCCTCTGGACAGGTGGCTGCTGGGAGCTGAACGCGCAGCAGACCCGAGATGTCCACAGGTCAAAGACTCTCTGTAAGTCCATTTCACTTTCCAATCCTGGCAAACTTACCCAGAGCAGCATCGAAGCCTGGCTCCACGGTGAGAACATCACGTGCTGGGAAATCGGAGACGGCCTGCTGGAACTGCAGCTGGCAGCTCAGGAGGGACTCTGGGTGCAAGGTCTTGATGACTTCCCTCTGGGCTGGGGAGCACTCACCTAGAGAGGGGGAGGGAGTCAGAGGGTGTGACCAGGCCTGCCGGCCACCACGCCCAGGCCAAGGAGACCCCAAACCCCAGAATGAGAGCAATCCAAGAAGGCCACCTGTGCCCACGTGCCTTCCATGCAGGGGCCCAGGGCTGCCCAGAGCTTGGAGATGGAGCCACAGCTGATAAAAGCCAAGGAAAAATCACACAGAGGAGGGGGCATTCTGAATCGGGGGGAGTTTCAGATCAGAATTTCAGCGTTTGTTCTAGAGTGCGCATCCAGGGGCACGGCAGACAGGCCAGGCCCACTAATGCGTGTCTCCTGTCCCTGTCGGCAGGGGATGAAGGCACACTGACTCTGCACACCAGGAGGGCACCAGTTCTCCACTAACACACCGAGTGTCACTGGCCAACAGCAGAGTGCTGTCCCCTGGCACTGATGCAGGAAAGGAGAGGTTACCGGGAAACAAAAAGGCTGCCCCACGCATCAGAACGAGAAGGGTGGTATTTAACTCTACAAGGTGTGCCAGTGGTTTCAGAAAAACAGCCTGTATTGGCTTATTTATTTCTGGCAGCTGCTGTCCAGGGCTGTCAGGGGCAGGGGATGGGGTTGAATGTGCTATGCACGACTTGGGAGAGCAATTATAAAAATCAAAATCGGTGACTAGTCTGCTAAGTCATTAGTTCCTGGGATTAATGGTGGTAAATTGTGGCTTTCTTTGCTCTGGTGCCCTAGGGCTGAAATTGCATTTCCAGTTCCGAAACAGGCAATTCCGGGAGCTGGGGTCTTTTATGACGATTCCTTTCCCTGGCTGGGCTTGTGGAGGACTCAGATTTCTAAAAGACTGAAAGGCTGAAAGGCGTGGAGGAGGTGGGTTATTAAATGCTCTTGCTGGAGTTGGTGTTGAGTTTGAACCGGAAAAGCTGATAGAATCCCTAAGAAGGGCACGAGAAGCCACCTCCCTGCTCCCCAGAGCCCCTCATTGTGTACCACGCAGGTTAGAGCTTCCGTCTCCCACAGTGACAATCACTTTGGCGCCTGTGGCCTCTTGGAAGCTGGTCTGGATGGGGTGGACCTGACGGGCCACGATCTTCTGAGGGACGCTGACCACTATCTGGGGAGGAAGCCAAGGCAGCTGACAGAGTGGTCACAATGTGGGCCTCCCTCACCTCCCAACTGCCCCAGGGCTCCTGCTGCCAAAGCACCGCCTCCTCCCTCGGGTTACCGCTGTCCCTCCCCAGGACTGACGGGAGGCTGTACCCCACTGCCTGCCCAGCCCTGCCTCTCAAGTCCCGGGCTGTCCTTTCTCCTCCTGAACGCCAGCTGCCGTCTTCTCGCAGCTCCTCCTCCCCCTCCAAGCAGTGGCCCAAGGCCTCCCCCCCCTCCTGCCCTGCACACGCCTGGGTGCTCCGCCCACGCCCAGGGCTCCAAAGGCCATCTCTGGGCGGGAGGCTCCACCCCATGTCCCATCCCGCCCCTGCCCAGTGGGCCCCCAGCCTCACCTGGAGAGGCCACAGCCACCTCTAACTCCCCGGGCCAGACTCCTCACCTCCTTCCCCCATGCGGCCCCCACCTCTGTGCTCCCCGCCGCAGTGAAGGACCACCATCAGCCTGGCACGCCAGCCCGCCCCCACCTCTGTGCTCTCCGCCACAGTGAAGGACCACCATCAGCCTGGCACGCCAGCCCGCCCTCCCCTCAGGCCCCACTGCCCGATGGTCACCTGCCCCACCCAGTGTTCCCAGCCAGGTCCTGTCCTCAGTCTGCTCGCTGGTTCCCCTGCAGTGACCCCCTTTCTCTCGAGCTCCACCTGATGCGGAGCAACCTTTCCAAACACACCCCTCATCTATATCGCTCCTTAAAAATAAAATCCAGGAAGTCTAGCATGGGCTTCAACCTCTTTACTGTGAGATGGCAACAGGGGCAGACAATGTCTACTGAGCATTTGCCATGTGTGAAGTACGTTCTAAGTGCTTCGCACATGTTATTAATAACTCATTTAATCTTCACAACACTATTATCTTACAGGCTACTATCTTTCACAACACTACTATCTTACACACTATTTTACAGGCAAGGAAATGGAGGCACAGAGAGATTCATTAACTTGACCAATGTCACACAGCCTCGAGGTGGCCAAGCTGGGATTGGGCTCAGACAGCCTGGCTCTAGAGCCTACCCTCATAACCTGCACGGAACTATTCGGAATCCAGTGCATGTCATGATCTGATCACAAAGCCAGACCCCGCTCCCTCAAACCCTGTTCCAGCCCCCCAGCCCCCACCCAAGGCTCTGCCCCTGAACCTCACACACCTGCCCGGGCCGCGCCTCCCCGCCCACCCTCAGACGCTCCTTCTGGGACAGCCCAGCTTTACCGCCAGTCCGTCACAGGGGCTCTGCCTGCAACTGGCTGGCCCAAACCGCACAGCGCAGCACCGAATATGCAAACGGCTAGGTTAAACTGCTGGATTCAATAAAGCACATGCCGGCTCTAAAAATGAGACACATTTGGAACTCAGCCAGACTTTGCTCATTGATTCATTCTTGGTTGGAGATAAACAGAAGAGAGAATGGGTTTTGTTCGCCTCCAGAAAGACTAGAAAGGTGACCTGCCAGGGGAGGTTTAACTGTGCTGGTGACAGGGAGTCGCTGGGCTGCCCCACCCACGGCCCTGATTCCAGGGAAGGGCCCACACTGGGGCACCAGACCCAAGCGTGTGGGAGCTGGACCAGCCCTACGAGGTCGCCTCTCATCGCTGGAGCCTTATGAACACTGGTTTTGCTGCCTGGTTTTGCAAGTAAATGTTGGAACCCAGCCGTGCCCATTCGTTCATGTGCTGTCAATGGCTGTCTTCATCCCGCCACTGCCAGGCTGAGCAGCAGCGGCAGAGCTCATGTGGGCTGCACGGGCTGAAATATTTATCATCTGGCCCTTTGCAGAAAACACGTGCCGAGCCCTGTGCTAGAACAGCACTGTGCTGTTCGGAACACGGGGACGAAGGCCAGGGATGGAAAGGGAACTACTTTGTCCCCACCTCTTAGAGAGTGGGTGGCCCACCTCAGACCCATGATTCCCAGATTCTAACCCCAGACGGCTAGGGCTGGGTTTCTTTCTTAAGCAAACGAGAATCACGAGGTATTTTCCCAAAGAAAAGGTTTTCACTATCCTCCAAGAGGGTCAGCCCTGCCTCACAGGCCACTGAGCCACGTGAGCTCGGCTGCCCTGAAACCCACCTCCTTATATGTCCTCAGGTGCCCAGCGACCTCATAGTAGACCGTCACAGATCCTGCATCCTGGGCTACAGCCACGCCAGTCTTGGGGTCCACGTGGAGGATGCTGTGGGCCGAGGAGCTCCAGGTTCCTGAGAGGCCTGGGGGAAAAGCCCTGAGTGTCACCACCGTTCCCATATCTAGACGCTCCAGACAAAGCCCTGCTCACTGGGCCAGCCTCCCCATCCTGGGACTCACACCCAAGGAAGGTGCTCACTCATCCCTCTGAGGAGAGCGCCCCCCACCACTGTCACACTTGCCCTCCCCACAGCTGCAGCCCCAACGCCCCTCCCCAACACCTCCAGGTTGGACTGTCTTGCCCCACCTGGCATGAAGCTGTACCTGGTTCCTGCCCTGGGTGCTGCCTCCAGACCCCACCCTCTGCGGCCCCTCCTGCCCATCAGCTCCTTTTTAGCAGACAGCAGGTGTCAGGCTCAGAGCTGTCACTACACAGCACTTCTGAGTTAAAAGTCAATCACGTTACATAATACATACAATAAAAGGACTGAATAACCACATTCTATTCATGGAAACTTGTATTTGTTTGTCTTTAAAGGTAGTATTTAATTTCCTTTTAAAATAAACCTAATGAGGTAAAAAGAGTGGAGTCAGTTTGAAAACAAAGTAGATCATTGTACAAGTGTTCCCTGGATGGATGGATGGCAGAGGAGTGGCTGAAATTTGGAAGCCACCAAACTGGCCCACTGTCCTTTGCTTAAGTCTCCTCGCCTGTGCTGTACAAGCTGGCAGCCAGACGCCAGGGGATTACTGAAAGCAGCAAATGCAGCTCCTCGTTGTGTTAGCCACACCCCACGTGCTCACTGGCTAGAGGCTACTGAATCAGACCCTGCAGATGGAGGGCCTTCCACAAGAGCAGGAAACTCTAGCGCACAGTGCTGTTCTAGCACAGGGCTCGGCACGTGTTTTCTGCAAAGGGCCAGATGATAAATATTTCAGCCCGTGCAGCCCACATGAGCTCTGCCGCTGCTGCTCAGCCTGGCAGTGGAGGGATGAAGACAGCCATTGACAGCACATGAACGAATGGGCACGGCTGGGTTCCAACATTTACTTGCAAAATCAGGCAGCATGCTGGACTGGGCCCTCGGGCAGCAACTTCCCAAGTGCTCCTTTGGTGCATCCTGCAGGGTCCCTGCACACGTCCCCAGGGGCCTGAGCACCTCCCTAGGGCCACACCCACTCTGCACGTGCCCATCACACCCCACATTTCCCTGGGTCAGGATGTCCCTTACCTTCCAGGCTGACCAGAACAGTGCCCAGACAGAGCACGTCCCCCACTACCAAGGCTCCGGACAGCTCTGGGGAGATGGCCTGCTGGACTGGCAGGGGAACGAAGTCGGAGAGGCCCAGGTGCTCCGTGTCCCACACTCGGAGCAGCGTCAGGCCTACGCTGACCGTGCGGACGACGCAGGTGTTGTTGGCGGAGCCCCTCCCAATCTGCACAAAGTCATCTCTAGGCACAGGGGAAAGAGGGGCTCTCAGTCCCCAGAAAGAAGCCCCAGTTCCAGCGGGGGATGGGCAGTGTAGGTCCTCAGCTAAGCGACACTTTCCTCCAGCTGAGATCCCAGAAGCTGCTCCACCTCGAGGTCGCTGAGGATGCCCAGGCAGGCAGAGCGAGCTGAACCCTGCTCGCCTGCCCAGGAGGAGCCCACAGCCCTCGGCCGCGGCTGCCGGCATTGTGTCCCCGCACTCCAACTGCCGTGGCGCAGGGAGGACCGTGGTCACAGTGTGTCCCGGCCTCTTCCCAGCGGGGAGCAGACAGACTGGGAAGGCACAGGCTGCGCCTGGCCATGTAACGGGAACAAGTATCGCAGCCTGTGCCCATTTCCTCCACCGTGATGTGGAGCAGGACGTCCCTGTGCCGCAGGCCTGGCGAGAGCATAGTGAGGGCAGCAGGGCAGAGCACCAGGACAACGCCTGGCGCATGGCATGTGCTCGGTCAGCATCTGCTTCGGCCACTTGGTACGGAGTC